TTTTTAAATAAACTCAAAAACGTCTGGATTAATTTCAAAAATTCTTTGACCAACGCTACATTATACCTGAGTAACATATTTATTTCCAAAATCAATCAAAAAAAAAATGTCAACCTTGCGAAACCGGGCTAGAGTAGTTTATTATATTTCTTATATATTTTATATCTATTACCAAACATTCTTGCAAAACAAGTTAAATCTTATACATAAGGAAACATATAGCTTTATTTAGTAAAAATTGTATTTACACAGCCAAATTAGGTAATACTTAGTTAAATGTATTGAATAATGTGTAATGTTTTATCCCTTGTTAATGTTTGAACCTTTTTGTAAATATTATGTATTCCAGCTTTGGCTATATTATATAATTGTTTGTTTTTATGTTTATATTTTGTTAGCTGTAGGATTACAAAATAAATAAATAGCATGTTACTTAAACAATGGACAAATTGAACAATCAACAGTGTAATCATTGAACCTTTCGCTCGACAGTACAATTATGAATGTGTTTCATTCAGTCGATGCAATTAAGTTGAGAATTTGAATGCACCATTAATTATACTGACTGTCTGTTGTATTGTTTTCTTAAATTAGTACTGATATACCTATTCTTCAGTTGAAATTAAATACAAAAAAGTAATACGTCTTTCAAACAACAGTCGTACCACAATCAAAAAAGTTAATGTGGAAATGGGCCGGTCTCATTGCTTTTATGACAGATGGGTCTTAAATACTCTTACTTTCCAATAGGGAAGAGGAAAGAGAGGACGCCCAGCCTGGGAAGATGTAATAAAAGGGATAGGTGGAGGATAAGCTTGAAATATAGTAGCGAAGTCGACAGACAAATGGAAGAATTTGAAGCCTTCTGATAAACGAGCCTGGATATCGAAACACACCCTTCACACTTTAAAATCGATTTTTGTTTAGTTTTTTGTAATTTTAATTTTTTTGGTTAGTAATGTTTTTTAATGTTTGTTTTGATTAATATTTGTCTGATCTCGACATGTATGTCATGTTTGCCTTTAAGTGCTTATAACTTGTTATTTTACCAATGTATCAGTGTGCGTTAGCAAGCTTTTATCAATAAAAAAAAATAAACTTCACTCCGTCGGAGGTCGTGTACTATTATTAAATACAATAACATAAACTTCATGTTATTATTACAGTTCTCGAATACAGGCTATTTTTATTTTAGATTAGATTAAGAAACGAAAGCGTGCACTATGGCTCTTCTATTATTTATAGTCTAAACCCATTATCACAGCTTACATTTAGCAATTACTGCTGTTTTTTAATCCCGGAGGTACTACAATCTTAAGAACTTGAATATGTGAGTCTCGTATCTGAATCTTAAGATACCTGGGTTTAACCCAACAATAATGTTTGGTGACTATTATATGTAGACCTGAATTATCAATGAAATGGAAGGAAAATGAAAGCTTCTGCGTCAAATGATTTTTTTATATAACAAACGGCCAGGAAGCTCACCTGATTATGAAGCTCACAAGTGCCTTGCAGGCCATTTCAGAATAATTACGCTCTTTTCTTGAAGGAGTCGAATTAAGTCTAAAAAAATGAATTATTGCAGCTGGTTTCATATTGATGGCTGGCAAAACTGCCTTAAAAAACACTCAAACGCTCGCGTCTACCACAGACAATAATTGTTTGCCAACATATAAAAATATGTCTAATGCCGCAGATCTCAAACTCAACTAGTTTTACATACACTTTGGATTACGTATTAAATTAATTCTCAATAATGAATGTAATACGATAAACTAACAACAAAAATGTCGTATCGAATAACAATGAATGAGTCCGACGACAGAAGCTATTGTCGGCTTGCTATATATATTTTAAGTTGGCAGGAAAGTAAGATTTTGACAGCATCTCTTAATGAACCGGTGAATAATGAGGCGAAGTGTTGTGTTGCACGAGCTCGCACTAATTAACGCAAGAGTGCTTATTTTATGCACGCGAGCCGACATTTTAGCTTTCGTGTTTTATAATTATTTACCGTATAAGTGTTTCCTCCAACTTTGATTTTGTTCCCTTTTGGAGTAGGATTCTTGGGCTGGGAGGTTCAAGTGCACAGGCGCTAATTAAAGATTTAAATTGGCGGTAGATAGTACCAGTGACCCCAGAGCTGGCGCTTTCCTCGCTCAATGGATAGGTATCGCAATACAGCGAGGAAATGCTGCATTAAAGGTGCTGCATTAAACATTTTAAATTGATTTGAATTAATTTAGTAATTACTAAAGTATAATCTTTTTATATGGAAGAAATCTTTACGCTTTTGTTCATTTTTATCAAAAAGCTTAGTGTTGTTAATCTTTATTTATTTTATTTTCACTTCGTTGCAAATAAAAGAAGCACAATACATAAAAATTATAAGGGATGCAACGGGCGGCCTTATCGCTAATAAGCGATCTCTTCCAGGCAACCCTAGTTAAAGAGAAAAACTAAAAAAAAAGAAACATGATGCGTGCGAGAAGTGCAGAACCAAATGTTATATAAAAAAAAATATATATATAAATATATATATATATATACAGAACCTTAATCTAAAGTAATACAAAAAAAAATATTAATAACAGACTAAAAACTTAAAAGCTAATCTTACAAATTCATGAACAGCGAATAGTGATGTAAAAGGAAACATGAGAATTATACAAGTCACGATTGATGAGGATAGGATAAGGTTAAGAAATGATTATTATATATATAATCTTGGTGCCTGAAGAGGAACACCACTGTACATATTCTAATACTTAATACTAAAGATTTTAATAAAATAATTATTATAAGTACAGAAACAAAAATCACAAATACTTATGATGTAAACACAATCTCTGTACAAAATAAATTAAGTTATGCTGACGGTACTTTTTATTCTCCACTTGGAACACATTAAACAAAGTACCGTTTTTGAAATAAGAAAAAACATTCATAGTAAAACAACACGTTGCCATTTTCACAGCAGGTAGAAACTTGTTAGACATCCGTGGCGTGGTCGCATAGTTTTTATCGTTATAATCGCGCGTGCAGCGGTCACTAGCTCCGAAGCGCCCGACCTCTAACTCGGAAACCAGAAACAAAAAGAGCAATGCAGGCACGGGCCGTGAGAACGCGTCTTCACCATTTATCTTGTACGGTCGAGACTGGACCGGACTGCTTTTATTGCATTGAATTCTTAAATATAGGTGTACGGATTGTGGAGGACCGCTACACTACTAATATGATTACAGCGACTTCGCGATTAAGAGAAAACGAGATTCTTTTCTTACTTAACTATTTTGTTCCCACGGTTGCTGATTTTAATTGATTTTCTCTAAGTTTACGGTAATAATGCTTATTGGCCGAGCAGTGTTGGCCTAGTGGCTTCAGCATGCGACTCTCATTCCTGAGGTCGTAGGTTCGATCCCCGGCTGTGCACCAATGGAATTCTTTCTATGTGCGCATTTAACATTTGCTCGAACGGTGAAGGAAAACATCGTGAGGAAGCCGACATGTCTTAGACCCAAAAAGTCGAAGGCGTGTGTCAGGCACTGGAGGCTGATCACCTATATGCCTATTAGATTTAAAAATGATCATGAAACAGATTCAGAAATCTGAGGCCAAGAGCTAAAGAGGTTGTAGCGCCACTGATTTATTTATTTAAGTCAAAAATTATACTATGAAACTTCCGACGACTTAATAGTATGGTACCTACTGCTACAATTGCCATAGCAAGACTAATAATACAAAAATCAAAAAGGTGTTATCCATGTCTATCAATTGTAATTAAATTACAATGAAATATACTATTTTCTTTCGAAGGAAGTAAAAAAAAAAACGATTTTGAGAGTAACGACAAAATTTAAAGTAATATAATATTTATTTAAAGCTTGTCCTTTGTCAAAGGCCTTCTCAAATTTTTTTACGACGCTTGTTTAAACTAAGAAATGTATGTAACGGCCCTATATAGATTATTTTAATTCAACACTTATCCACCATAAAGTGTTTCCATAGTATACTTTCTCGATATTCAATTTTGTTAAGCAACATCGGTTTATTACCCAAGTCAATCATAATAAAACAAAACTAAGTTATCTCGATAAAGCACGGAAATGATGTGCACTAGACGTAATGCTCATCTTCAATATTACAAAAAGTCGACGCCACAAAATCAATTTCATGTACTGTTATAACTTGTTTGGCTTGTGAGTTTCTATAAACTATTCGATTCGAAATTTAAAAATATGGAAGGTGATTTTGCTCGTCCTCCAACAAGTAGTTTTGCATTAGTTCTGTTTTCAACGTTATTCAATATGTGCAGTGTGCAATTGTTGAAATGCCATATAAAAGAGCGAATTAAAAGAGTCACGTGGATTTTAATATTTTTCTAAATTTAAATTTAGAAGCAGCTGCTGAATAATGTATATTTTAATTTTATGTATGTACACTGTCACAGCGACCAAACTTTTTAATTTATTATTTATTTGTTTTAATTTTCTATTTCTAAGTTTTAATTATCAAAGTTTCTTGCCAGTTCTTCTTGTCCGCTCTACGCCCTTGACTTGCGAACTAGTAGTAAATGTAAATTTACAAATAATTTAACTTCTTTTCTGACGTTCATAAGTGTACTTGTTTACCTATATGAATAAAGTTATTTTGAGTTTGAGTTTATTATTATTACTATGTAGGTAAAAAAATTTGTAAATACTGTATATTTGTGTGTTTCAAAGAAAGTATATATTAAATTTAAACTATTATTATCGAAGTTTTGTAATAATATTGAAATACCTTTCGAACCGTTTTTAATTCCCGCAACCGTCTCTGTCTCTTTATTAAACCGTCTCAATTAACCTTTTATTTTAAAATATACAAACGTCAGGTGGCTGACACACGCCATATGGTGAATCTTTGGTGCCAGTAATTGATTAATGGTTTCTCGGAGCGACCTTAAATACTTTTTTGTAATCTCGGCTAATAATACCTTCGGATTGTGTTATGACCATATGGCCTTTACGCAACAGTTGTCGAATTATCCCTTACCTGAGATACCTGTGTATCCTGACCGTGATATTTATACATATTAAAAAAAATGGATTTAGAGAAATCCGCCTAAACTGATCGTTGAGATTTCATTTGAGAATTCAAGATATCTTTAAGTTTATTAAATTCCAACGTTGTTCCGTAACTTTCTGTTTTACTTTTTATAACATCGTCACCGCGGAAACATTCGGAGGTTCTAGAACCTTAACGTAATAAGTATTTCTCGAAAGACTTCAATTTTCACTAGTGGATATTTAACATAGAAATTACAATTTTAATCAGTCTATTAAGGGAAAACTCTGTTCTTGTGTAAATCTAATTTAATATTTTTGGAATTACATAATATATATGTTTTTATTAATATCCTTTAATAATCCGACTTTCTCTTAATAAACGACTCCTTATAAGTGTCTTAATATAAGAAGTTACCAAAACTTACAGTGTCCAGTAAAGGGAAGATCTATAACCTTATAGTTTTTTTATAAATATATAGTACCTTAAGTCCATTTCTTTAATAAACTCCAGATTTTAGGTATTTTTAAAGATTATAACCTATGGTATTTTCTCAGATTATAGGTATTTTCACAGGTTGTAGGTCTTTTCTCAGGGCTCTACATCGGTTTCGTGATTTATTCATTTTAGGATAGGTAATGCGCCTTTGACATGTATGCCTTAATCCTGTGACACAAGCATTAAGGCATACGGGTCTTCTCATGACGTATTTCTTTATCATGCGAGTGTTAATTGCGCACATTAAAAGTCCATTGTTACCATACTCCCCCAAGACTGCTTTACACTGCTCTGATGTTGATATACACAGAAATATAACCAGAAACATTTGTTCACAGAATCGCTGGCACGGGTATGTCGAGTGGAATGGGAGGCACCCTCGGCGGCCACTGCCAACTGGCGAATCAGCCGCTGGTGATGCCAGTCTTCCCACCTCGAACTAGTCAACCAAGCCCCGTTCCAGTGTACTCTCCATCACGGTTTCACATAGACAAGAGATGCCAGCACCGATGCACGTGGAAATGCTTAGCCATAGCGATGATATGTCTGTGCGTAATATTAGCAGCGATGCTCGCCTATTTTATAGGTAAGTTTAGTTTAGACAACCAAATTAATTATTATAATATTATGAAAATATTATGTATGTATACAAAAATAGTGATAAGTTTACTAGAATAGAACATACGCACAATGTTAATACACGGAACAAACGCAGGCTGCAATTTCCCCGTACTAGACTATCTAAAGTTAGTAATTCTTTTTTGGGGAAAGGGATACTCTTCTTTAATAAAATCCCAGAGGCTCTTTTATCACTGCCTTTCAATAAATTTAAGAAATGTATTAAAGAAAAGCTGTGTAAAAAGGCTTACTATAAAGTCAACGATTATCTAGTTGATAAAAGGGCCTGGGACTAGTGCTAGACAGGCTACTTCTAATTAATTTGCGATATTTGTTTTAAATAAGTGTTGTTTGATGATTTGATGTTTTAAAAGAGTACCGAGAGTTTTTTACGCCGGCTTTTTCTCTCGGCCTACACCCTCTGTCTTCTTTGCCGATGAGTAGGGATGCCTTCAAATTTAATGACGTGGAATAAGTGATACATGTATCTTATGTTCCATAATAAACATATTTTATTTTATTTTATATTTTATTAGTTAAATTAGACTCGTAAAAGCAAGACATGCAAACAAATCTATACACTATTTTGCACTTATTTACAGAAATATACACATTATCCTAACAGACTATGCCAATACAATAATGTCAAGAAAAAGTAAAATAAAATAAACACATAATATACACAATATCGCTACTGTTAATTCACATATAAATATGTCTATTGTGTCCATAGCGAGATTCAGTAGGCGCAACGTCTTCGTTAATGGGGAACTGTGCAACAGACTGGTTCTGGTCCTTGGTATCGGAAACAACCTAGGCCGTCGTCGCACATATCCTATATGAGTAGAGAAATATTAATAGTTCAATAAAAAAAAACATCAAAGAAAACAGTAAAAATTTTGAAAATTTTTTTTTGTGCGAAACTTACTTATGCATAATACTAGTAAACAAATATACTATGTAATGATTATGCAGATAAAAAAACCAATGAAATTTTAATATTAAAGACAATATATAACTTATAAACTTACGAAAACAGAGAAAAAAAATATCTCACTGAACCGCCAATATCAAATATTTTTAAAATCTTGTATAGCCAAGGGCGTTGAGGGCGCACATATTAAAAAACACCGAACCTTAATATATTAAAACTAGAATTGAGGGGACAGAATTAATATAATTGAGTCTATCAAAGGGGTTTTAAAAACATGAAAAAGTTATTACTGTATATTTGTTTATTTCGTAACAGCTAACATAAATTATACATAACAAAAAACAATTATACTAAAGATATAGCCAAAGATGGAATACATAATATAAACAAAAAGATTCAAATATTTACGAAAGGAAAAAAATATTAAATACATTTAACTAAGTAATGCCTAATTCGGGTGTGTTGTGTGATGTGAAACTGAGTGTGTGCTCTGACCGACTCCAAAAATGTGGGTGGAGGTCATTGTTGGGACTTTGTAATGAAAAAACCTGGTGGTAAGTGTTATTGCCTATAGACACTCAAATTGCCATAGAGCAAGTGCGTTGCCATTTAAGTATTGGTACGCTTTCTTGACGGACCCTAAGTCGAATTGGTTCGCCTTAGGCATTTTGCTTATTTCGATCTATTTCGAGTACAATCCTGATATATAAAAATACCCTAACCTCTAACCCTCTTTATACACATAATCACTACATAAGTTTCGTTAAAAATAACCAGTGACGTCTCAGGTCCACCTCAGATTTTTGCATATGTTTTGTGATGTATTTTTAATAATCACGTAGGTTAGCCTTTGCACACACTGTCGACTTTGTTGGCCTCCTTACTAGGTATATGGATACAAAGTAGGGGGCTAATCGCTTAAAAAGCTATGTTTAAAACCCAACTGGTGTATAAAAAAGCTTAGAAATAAATCACAATTTCAAACGTTAAAAAAAGCATTCTCTTTTTATGGCTAGGAAACGTTAGAACAAAATGTTAATATAAATAACGTTGTTTAGTTAATCACAGCGGGATGCCTGTCCGTTCATTAAGCCGGCATTTTATTTACTCATTTCGAATACAGATTAGATTGTTTCCAATATAAATATTTTCTATTGCATTAGTGTGTTTACTTTGAAAAACGGGAATAGATGTGTTCTGTGGATTGACGGGAAGGAAACCTCGCTTTGATTTCTATGATAGAACTATTTTAAGTCCACTATAAATTTTTAATACCAATCTCCAATGTGTTACTGATCGGCTGATTCTGTCTACGCAGTAATTGATATAGCATCAATGTCTGCGTATTCTACAAAGTCGAAAAATCTTGACAAAATAAATCATAACAATCAAATGTACAGTATTTACAACTTTCTTAACTTAGTAGAAGTTTGCTTCCTGTGGAAGAAAGTTTGGTTCCTGTGGAAGTGCACATTTCCTCGCTTTATTGCGATACTAATTCGTTGAGCGAGGAAAGCACCAGCTCTAGGGTCACCGGTACTATCTACCAGGCACCAAATTAAATCTTTAAATAGCGCCTGTGCACTTGAACCCCACGGCAAGAATCTCTTCTCCAAAGGGACCAAAATCGAAACCGAAGTTGGAGGAAAGACTCTAATATTTGAGCCGTTTATTATCCGCCTGCTCTGCTTTGCTTTCTTGCTTGTCCGATTCTATAAAATGTTTATATTTCATACTTAACATCTCCGTAGAACTATAGTGGTTAATACATCAAAAAGAAAATTAAAGATGGCGTTAAGCTACCACCGATGAAAGGCGGAAATAATTTAAAGATTACTCGAAGCATTTTCTAATCAGAAAATATTAAAGTCGCCCCTATTGGAGAAAATCCATCGCTGCGGGCTGTCGGCAAATTAGAAACATGCAGGTTTTCGCCTGAGGGAATAAAAATAAGTACTTAGACTTATAAGGGAATTGGATGAAATAAAACGACAGTCCTTACTTGTTCATCAATTTCCAAGCTTTTTTAAACTAAAGCTCTATACTATTTTGATCAGTGAGAGCAGTGTTGGCCTAGTGGCTTCAGCATGCGACTCTCATCCCTTAGGTTTGCTCCCCGGGTCCATCCATGGACTTTCTTTCTATGTGCCCATTTAACATTCGCGGCGAAGACTAACATCGTGAGGAAATCGACTTGCCTTAGACCCATAAAGTCGAGTGTATCAGGGACTGGAGGCTGATCACCTACTTGCCTATACGACAAATTATCATGAAATAGATACAGAAACCTGTGGCCCAGACCTAAAAAGGTTGTACCGCCACTATTTTACGTATTTTGGCAAAGATTTTCAAGCTCCGCAATAATAATCGCTATTAATCAGACATTTATATAAAACCATAAATATATATACCTAAACCTTCCTCACAAAACACTCCATCTTTCATACAGACAGCAAGACATAGCACTTCATTTTTTAAGGAGAGGAGGTTTAATGCAAAGAAATATTACGTGTTACTAGTTACAGATGAGACTTAAATGTACTATAACTAATACTACTACACTATAAGTTAAGTATTTTAGTTAAATAATATTAAATTTACGTTTATATTTAAGGTTTATAGTATATAGTATTTACCAACCCATTCGATTAATGAGCAAGAGAGCGTTCAAATTCTTTAATATCGGCAACGCACTTCTGGCAATGTGAATGTCCATGGGCGGCGGTATCACTTAACATTAGGTGAGCCTCCTGCCCGTTTGCGCAATGTTCTGAATGCAAGTTTATGAATCAAAGATAACGTGATAATCAATGCTAATGAAGAAAATCGATAATTTTGACATGAAAATTGTTTGGTCAAACAAAAGTTTGAAACCAAATATTCTTTATTTGTTTAATTATCAAGAGTACATACAGGGTTCCGTGAAATAGCTTAGGGTTACAAAAGTAATAATACTAAATTTATTATCCAACGTATTTAATTTTGTATCTGTGGTATTTGAAAAATTATACCAGTAGTAAACAGGGCCTAGGATTTACTGTATCTGTTTCGTGATAATTTTTCTTAAAAGGCAAATAGGTTTGCCATCGGTGCCTGCAAGCCGTCATTTTTTGGTTAAGCATTCCCGGTTCTTAAGATGTTTTCCTTTACTGTATGTGCGCACAAAGAAATGCCGTAGGTGCACAGGCACGGCATACTTATTATATACATTCTCGCACGTTTGCATATATACAGGCACACATTGAAGTCGTTTAATAACAAGGTAAACAGAAAAAAATAAATCATTCGTCTAACCCGCGGCAATGTTTTGCCTCAAGCCCTTCGCTTCTGTTTTATCGAGGTTATAAATTATATCCCCGTCCCTTGTAATTTTACTGCGAATATCAAATTGCAATCTCAACTTACAAAGCTAAAACATGTTTTTAATAATTTTCGATATCCGTATGAATTGACAATGACAATTGACAGCGCCTTCTAAATCTAAATAAAAATATTAATCCTTTATAACACAATTAATTTATTAAAATACAATTAATAGATCAAAAGTGTTAGTAGAAGTGTTAAGGAATTTTAAAATATTACAAGAATCTTGACTGGCCGCATTTCTGGTCATAAAAAATAAAATAAGTATTCATTAAAGAGATTGTAAATTTTAATTTCTCCAGGTGTCACCTGCAAGAATATAACTCGTTAAAGTTATTTTCTGAATAATTAAATTGTAGGGCTGTTTATTACAGCTGTAACCGCAGACACATTTAAGAAATCGCAAAAATAGCATCAAAAAGATGCCGCGTAAGACTGATAACTACTGACCTACATTCGACTTAAATCGATCCAGCGAAAGCCCATTTCAAACATTTTTAGCGGCTTAATTAATTTTAACATCCCGAATTAACTTCGCCCTCTTAAGATTTCTATCTTGTAGTTATGTAAAGTGAACAGAAAACATTGAAGAAAAATTAGTCGAAATATTTATACGTATAATATTTGAATTTGGAATATTCAAAAGCAAAGTCTTCATTACAATGACCTGT